TGGAGGATTAAAATTTCTAACTCTGCTAATAGTGTGTTTAGCCGACCTATTAAATAATTTAACTAGACTTAATAAGAGAGATATGAGACCTTGATTCATTATAATATCAATGTTTATAGAGCTGAGCATGATTTAGAGAAAGGAGAAATGTTTAAAGTTGCTTAAGATAATGAAGATTAATTAGATAAGGCTTTTGAGAACTACTCCTCAATTACTATTGAAGTAAATTATAAAACATATAAAAGGACATTCTGGATAGTATGGAGATCTTTGCAATAATCAACCACTCTCCTAGATCTTATGATGTCGCTTGTTTTTTTTTCTAAAATACAAAAATTTTAAATAGAGTGATTTTTGTGATACTTACTATATATTGCTTTCTTTGTTCTATATTGTTCATAGATTATCCTATATTATTCTAATTAATATTATAACTTGGATAATAGATTTATTTATTTTCTTTTGTAAGATCATCACTACTACAACATCAGTAGTTTTATAAGTAAATGGCAAGTCAGATTGCTCATCAAAACAGAATTTCCATCAGGATTCATCGACTAAATTAGGAATTAATTAGAATATAAAAGATGCAGGATCCAAATTAGAGATAAGGAAAAATTCATTCTAAGAAGTAGATCCTTATCAAATTGACATATTTATAAAATACAATATCCTAATTTATATTATTTTTAAATCCTCTCCTTACATTCTAAAAAATATTAAATCTCGCTTTTACTAAACACTCATATCATAAGAGAGTAGGAAAATATGGATCATAATGATTATTTTGGTTGTACCTCTATTTTTTGGCAGTTGCAATCTAATCCAGCAGACAGAAAATTACAGTCAAGTAAATTTTTCATACTAACCAAATGAGACCAATCTCTTTATATCAATCGATTATTTAAGATTTGTAAAAAGCAAGATAATATGCATATAGCAGTGCTAATGGGAGACAATGTTTATTTATCAGGTTTTAAATATCAGGGTGTTGTTAGAAAACTTAGCATCAGTTGTTGTGTGATGAAGCTAAATTACAAATTGCTTGAATCAAGAATTAGATTCAATCAATCAAAGAATTAAGATAAACTTAGCTACCATATTAACCAAAATTCCAGTTGAAAGCATATCAACTCTATTTTACTATGAATCTTCTGTTTACTGAATAAATAACTAGTCGAAATTGTTTTATTCACTTAAACTTAGTATTTTCCAGTACTCATTCTTTCCTAGCAAAGCAAAATTGAAAAAGGTTTGAACAAAAGGTATCTGAAAAATCCTTAATAAACACCAAAGAAAATGTCATTAGGTAAAAAAATAATATCTTCTCAGAATTAGATTTTAAATTTTGAAATTTTACTTCCTATAAAGTGATATTTCTATTCTTGTCATTTAAGTATTAATTATGCAGATGGCAAGGTTTTCAGCAAACTGTTAGTTTTATTACAACTTCATAATTATTTCACAATTAATATTTGAAACCAATTTATAGGAAATTCCAAAATCAAATTATAAGAAGTAATTAGTGATTTCAGTTAATGAACATAAATATTTCCCGTTTCTTTTAAATGCTAAAGTAATAATATATAAGTCATTAAATTGTTATTTAATCAAAGAATGTAAAGGGTATTCGCTATTTACATATAATCTTAAAATTGTAAAGAATATAATAGATTATCTGTTTAGATTGAATTATTTAGACTACCAATGAAATGTGGGTTAAAGAATTCCCAATATTATCCCTATGTATTGTAGCATATTTAGAGAAGGATATAAAGTTGCATTCACTAATTCTTGATTAGCAATTAATGTCAACTCTATTCATATCATTTTTACTGAAATTCTCATTTAAATATCACTTAGGCTGTTAATAAGAGAAACAATGAAAAATGGAGAAAGCATATATCGACTTATTTGATTTTTTAGCTCAAAAATTAAAATACTTTAATTAAACAAGTGTCTTATTTCTTTTAAGGATAGTGAAAAGCTAAAAAGTCTAATTTCAAATGGTTTATTTAAATTACCTAGATTAAATTAAAGTATTCTCTACAGATATTGTTTGTCACCTTTTAAGAAAACCCTTCTAATTAATAAAACACTAAAAAGTAGATCAAAATTTATTTCATAACTTTTCTTTAAACAAACAATCTACTCACAAATTAAGATCTATTATTTCTTCAAATAATTTCATAAAATGCGCAAACCATAGCAATTAGAATTTTATGGAAGTCGTCTCTAACAAATTTCAAAAGACAAAATTACTCTAAAGATCTGTAAAAGCGATTGGACTGTACTGAAGAAATTTATTTCTTTAAATAAATTATTATTACTAAAAGACTCTATTTAACTTTGGAAAAAACTTCATTATAGCATGATTTAGAATATTGAAATATCATTAAAAGCTCCTAACCTATTCTTATTGGTTGAAACTCATATCATGTTCTTTCTATTTAATTACTTACATATAAAGAATAGCAATAAAATATTAGGATAAACAAACAAAAAAATTAATTTTCAATATTAATGAAATGGAGAAATGGACATTATAGTAATATTTAGGAAACCTAAAATACTATAAAGAATTTATTTTGAACATTTCACTTTTTTTTTATTTTTCATATTGCAGTCGCGAAATTTTTCCCTTGAAGAAACTTGAATAATTAATTTCAAGTAATATGACAAAACATTAGTAGCAAGGAAAATTGAAAAACGTAAGTTAATATTAAAAATAATTCTATCAAAGCTTCATTAAAATTATAAATCCCAAATGATTAAATTTAATTTAAAATAATTGGTATGATTTAATATAATAAAAAGATTTTGTAATTTCAAAATCTAGATTCATTCTCTATTCTATATTCTTGTGATGATAGTTAAACTATAGATAAACAAAATTTTGGATCATATTCTATCCTTAATTATTTCAGTTTAAATTAAGTATTAGTCACATCCAATTTCTATACTCAACCTTTAAATTTAATTCTCAGTGGATGAATTATTCTAAATAACATTATCTATCAATCATTATTGTGAATACATAAATATTAAATTAAATAAGATAATTTAATTATTACTTAGAATTTGGAACTCTTTAGAAATAAATTGATCCCAATAAGTTTACAAGAATCAATAACATGAAGGAGAACCAGATAAATTATCAGAATTTCAGATAAAGAAAGATATTCTTAATAAAAAAAACTACCAATTTTTTATCAAATCAACCATGATTATAATTTGGTGGAATTGTAAATATCATGATTTTATTCCATAACTATTTTAAGCTTTCATATATATATATCTCAGCTTTGTGTGATAATTATTCTATTTTATCTTAAGATCATAATTATAATTTGTTCCATCTCTTAGTTTCATAGATTAAGTTTAATAGAAATCAAAGAAATTTAATATTTGTTTAAATTAACATAATGATCAAGAAGTAAAATAAATACTTTTTTTAATCTATAAATATCATTATTCTTAATAAATTGGAGGTGTTAGAAAATAACTTTCGTTCTTCTTTATTTAAGATTGATGATGCATTAATTATGAATAATATTTATTGAATATGATTAACGAATAAGATCTATAAATTATTATTCGATATATTTTTTTCCCTCATTTGATTTCCTCTTTTATAGCTTCCTTTATTAGATCAATGTTCAAATCTGTTAGAGCCAAGAATTAAAAATCTACTCCATTCATTCCTGTGCACATTTTAGTGGATTCAAACATGATAGGATTCCTAATGGTTACAANCTAACCTATTCTTATTGGTTGAAACTCATATCATGTTCTTTCTATTTAATTACTTACATATAAAGAATAGCAATAAAATATTAGGATAAACAAACAAAAAAATTAATTTTCAATATTAATGAAATGGAGAAATGGACATTATAGTAATATTTAGGAAACCTAAAATACTATAAAGAATTTATTTTGAACATTTCACTTTTTTTTTATTTTTCATATTGCAGTCGCGAAATTTTTCCCTTGAAGAAACTTGAATAATTAATTTCAAGTAATATGACAAAACATTAGTAGCAAGGAAAATTGAAAAACGTAAGTTAATATTAAAAATAATTCTATCAAAGCTTCATTAAAATTATAAATCCCAAATGATTAAATTTAATTTAAAATAATTGGTATGATTTAATATAATAAAAAGATTTTGTAATTTCAAAATCTAGATTCATTCTCTATTCTATATTCTTGTGATGATAGTTAAACTATAGATAAACAAAATTTTGGATCATATTCTATCCTTAATTATTTCAGTTTAAATTAAGTATTAGTCACATCCAATTTCTATACTCAACCTTTAAATTTAATTCTCAGTGGATGAATTATTCTAAATAACATTATCTATCAATCATTATTGTGAATACATAAATATTAAATTAAATAAGATAATTTAATTATTACTTAGAATTTGGAACTCTTTAGAAATAAATTGATCCCAATAAGTTTACAAGAATCAATAACATGAAGGAGAACCAGATAAATTATCAGAATTTCAGATAAAGAAAGATATTCTTAATAAAAAAAACTACCAATTTTTTATCAAATCAACCATGATTATAATTTGGTGGAATTGTAAATATCATGATTTTATTCCATAACTATTTTAAGCTTTCATATATATATATCTCAGCTTTGTGTGATAATTATTCTATTTTATCTTAAGATCATAATTATAATTTGTTCCATCTCTTAGTTTCATAGATTAAGTTTAATAGAAATCAAAGAAATTTAATATTTGTTTAAATTAACATAATGATCAAGAAGTAAAATAAATACTTTTTTTAATCTATAAATATCATTATTCTTAATAAATTGGAGGTGTTAGAAAATAACTTTCGTTCTTCTTTATTTAAGATTGATGATGCATTAATTATGAATAATATTTATTGAATATGATTAACGAATAAGATCTATAAATTATTATTCGATATATTTTTTTCCCTCATTTGATTTCCTCTTTTATAGCTTCCTTTATTAGATCAATGTTCAAATCTGTTAGAGCCAAGAATTAAAAATCTACTCCATTCATTCCTGTGCACATTTTAGTGGATTCAAACATGATAGGATTCCTAATGGTTACAATAATTCCTATACTAATAGAATAATTCCTGATGCTAATCAGATTCCTGATACTTCAATTACTAATTTAACTTCACTAATTCCTTTTACGTTCTCTACATCATTTAATTTTAATTCTCAAGAATCTCCTTCTCTTTCTTAAGAGGCTTTAGATTTTACTTAGCAATAGCCTTATGTTTTTGCTGATACTTATGTTACTTGCTTAGGCTATCTGAAGGTTAAGGTTTCTTTTGCTAAATCCAGGTTTATCTTTTTTTTTATAATTATTAGTTAGCTTCTTTTTCTTGATCTGATTGTTATGCAATATTTTACATATAAATATTAATAAAGTTTATGATTAGTTTTCAAGAATTTAAAGTAAAATTATTCTATATATAATTCTTTTCTTTTTCAGAAATCTACGGAAAATTTTCACATTCAATAACTGAGCAAAAGTTGAGAAAAATCATAGCCCTATTTTGGTGAAAATCTGCCACGAAAATAATCATGATTATACAATTAATAAAATATGCACTGTGGTTGAGATTTACTTCGATTGTAATTTATCTTAAGAACTTTACAATTAATGATTTTTGTGAAACCTATACAAATTACAAAAATGATAATATTATCAAATGTAATTTAGCTAACACGTATTAAACTACAAGAGAAAATCTTTAATCTGTTGATTAAGAGCTATTATTAAAAAGTTCATAAAAATAATCATTATTATTGATTTCTGAAGAAATAGCTAATCAAAATATTTTAGAGGAAATCCCACAAATTAAAAAAATCAATTATAATAATATTCTATATAACTTCAAATTTATTCTATATACTTTATACATCAATAACATTTTTTAATTATTACAATATTTGTATTTCAAAGTGATTAACCTTAACTCATTTTCTTTATCCTTACACATATTGTTATTCTCAACATTAATTTGTTTATTTGGTGTTTAGATCATACCAGATGTATAGAATTTGAAGATGGAGAAAAACTAGACATTAAATAACAAATTTTGGTTTTGCTTCCTAGTGTTGATAAATTTTTAAGGAAATTAAATGATATTAATTCTATTAAAATATGAATATATTAATCAAGGTTATTTTTATAATATTTCTAAAGGTTCTATTAACGCATAGTCATTATCTATATCAATAGAATTAGCTGGCTTAACTGTTAATCTATTAGACTCTTTACTAGATTAATGATCTAGATAGTTATTCGATAGTTTTCCTCCCATTGAATGGCTCTGCTGCAGAATTTAATCTCCAAATTATTATTAAATAATAAATTATAGCCTTGAAATTTCATACAATATGTTATTTAGCCTGTATTTTTCTTTTGCTCTGTTAATAAAAGCTTTATATTTATATTTGAAATTTTCAAGTTTTCTATCCACGTTTTCTTCTGAACTATTATTGTTCTAATCTTCAAATTGATTGAATAAGTTCAACTTGATTTTTTTCATTTCTGGATAATACATAGTTACTATTTCATGCAACAATTCATTTTCCAATAACATCTTATTATAATATATTGCAAAATATTTTAACAAAAATATTACTTAAACAATTGAACCAACTTGAGCTAGAACTTAACCTAGCTTAGGCAATGTTATACTTTCATTAACCGAAATATTATCAATTCTAAATAAATAACAACCAAAACTCTTGAATTCATACTTCTGTTTTGATATTTAGCTAACCACCTGAGAAGTAAAATAACTATCAACAGGTTAATGAATTAACTCATAATTGTTTAAAAAATAGTAGTAATTATAATTATTAAATAATATTCCATCATCGACAACAGTTTCTTATTATTTGAGCAAGACTTACGAATATAAAGGTTTGGATAATTCAAATGCTGTATAATACTACTTTTCTATTTCTTCCAATTCTCCAACAGAATACTTAAGTTAATTTAATCTAATTGTTAAAAATAAAAACCCATGAAATTTGGTTAAATACTCATTTATTACATTTTCATCAGCACAATAACTTCCAGGGACAGCAGTCAAATTAGAACAGCTTTCTAAAACAAGCAACAATTGGGTCATTTAGAGATGGTCATCAATTCCAACATAATCATGATTTAAAACAATAGTACCGTTATCGATTGAGATAGTAAATGGCTTATCTTTACTACTAAATAATGGAATTGGTTTATCAACTATTGTTGTATTCAAAATTATATATAAATTAGGAGTAATGATATTATTCTCTTTTCTAAAAGGATCAACATCACCTGAAAAATCTTATAATTTCAATTAAATAATAGAGTCTGACAACTGAAATTCTGCATATGAAATAGTTTGTTAATTAATACTAACAATAGCAGGTATTTGATGATCAATCCATTAAATGATGATATATAAAAAATATGTGAAACTAATCCCTCCAATCAAAATAGTAATTAATCCACCAAGCTTGCTTTGATATAGGGATTCCTTAGCCGAGGTTAAAAGACTTACAGGAACCCCAAAAATATCGATTTTATCAATAGTATTTAGTATTTATTACATCTAAATTAAATAATAAAATTCTGGAGAAATATCTAAATATATATAACCTAATTATTTATAGATTTATAATTTTTATTCAAAACTATTAATATTTTAGTAAAAATTATGGTATTACATTTAGAAAATCAGGAATTTTACAATCAATAAATGAAAGCATGCTGATTAGGAAAAATAACTAAGTATTGATATTTATAATTATTTTTACATAATTGCTTCATTATAGATTTGACAAAAATGACTATAAAGAATTCTATTTTCAAGCAGACCAATTCTATTATATTAAATAATACTTATTCTAATAGAATAATATAGCTGAGCTGAGCCCCAATTCAAATTTTGCTGCTAAATTAAGTATTTGATAGTTTATATTGAGCACTTTGAGATAGCATTAATTACAAAGAATTGGTTAGAGAAATTATATTTTAAGCAAATATAGAATCATATTTTATAAATTTGATTTCAAAAAATGGATTAGAAAAGTATAAATCTTTTAAAAATTGAAACATTACATTACAAATTTTACGAAAATGAATTCTAAAAGCAAGTCTTAATAATAAGAAAGTTGAGAATTAAATTGTGGAAAAGGATAATGTTTAATAATGAGCCCATCCTATCTATTTGAACATCTCATTGAATTTAGCCCCTAAAAGGATTGAATCTTCAACAAATATTGGAAAAACTTATAAATTTCGATAAACTCTTATTGACCAAAAGACAATAACCAACTAAAGGAAAGATTCGACCAACTAGTGAAAAACAATACTTTACTTAATCGAAGGATGATAATAATCATATAATATTTTACTTAATCCCTAAACTGTTGTTTCAGTAAAGAAATTTTTCAATCAATTTGCATTGTTTAATTTTAATAAGCCGCTAAGAATATTGACCATTTGAAAGTTAGACTGATAAATTCTTAAATTCTTATTCTATCATAAAATCTCATCTCCTTAGTTTCTTATTCTTTTTTATGCCAAATTCAAACCATTTACCTACTTTACCATTCTTATATTCTCCAATATACTTGAGTTATATATCAATATGAAACCAATAACTAAACTCAATCCACTACCTTTCATTCTATTATTATCCAATAAGTCTTGAGTAATTCTTTCTACATAATATATCATTTGCCAACTTGTCTATCCTTTTTATATTCTCCATTGTTAGTGATATCTTTTGAAAACCTTTTATTTTTCTTAAAAACTGCACATAACTCGATCAACTTCCAATTTTCATCCCCTTACCATTATTATTATAGAATCTGCCCCACTTGATTTATGCTCATCTTATACATATATTTATTCATTTTGTTTCATAATCCTTACACCAAATATCTCATTTACCAACTTTTTTATCCTTCTTGCATTCTACTGCGAAAGAGATATACTCAAATTAATTTAATTCATCACTCAATTCAATCCATTTCCCAATCTTAAATCCATCTCCTACTTCTGAATACTGTCCACCACCCCTAAAAATTTTTAGATTACAATACTACCTCTTATCCCCAAGTATTCCATCTACCAACATTTTTGCTATTTTTGTTTTCTCCAATACAAGTGAATTACAAATCCAAAGAACACTCAAAATGCACTTAAGTCCATCTTCCATTGTTATGCCATCTACTCCAGAAGTATATTATCAACCCCCCATAGAATTCTTATTGTAATGACTTTTTACATTAATTCTTATTTAATTCCTTCAATAAAATATCCCATTTTCCAATTTTGAACCATTTTTGTATTCTCCACTATAAGTTAATTATGAATAATCAAATAATAGTCACATAAATCAATCCAAAATACTAATTCATTCCTGATCCCAGTTCATCGTATGACCCATCACCACTAAAAATTCACTTTATTTTAATTTACACCATATTGTTTCCAAAACTATTCTAAAAAATACCCTATCCTATCTACCAACTTTCTTGCTATTTTTATATTCGCCAAATGATGGATTTGAGAATGCTATTTAGATCCACTACCCAGTTCAGTCCATTTCCCGCCCTTTATTACATTACCTTCTTTATTATAAGATCAACCAGCAATATAAATATGATTCATTTAGTATTTTACATTATTTCAAATTTATTTAATTTCCTATACAAAATATCCCATCTACCAACCTTCTTTCCGATTTAACCTTATTTATCTCACTACCTAAATCATAAAATCCACCAACACTAAAACTTCGATTCATTAATTTACATCCTTTTTATATATAATATCCATTTCCCATTATTATTCAATATTTATGTTTCACCTTATAAAGTTATCTCAGCGCCTAACCAAAACTCATTATCCAACTCTATCCATTTTCCAATTTTACTACCCTTTCATCATAAGACCCTCCTCCACTATAATATTAGTGTAATTTAATTTTTTACATCTAATTGTTTAACTTATCCTTCGATTATTATA